CTATTACCCCTCAATGTCTACTGCACATCAGCCTGTACTCCCCTCAATATCTATTACCCCTCAATATCTATTACCCCTCAATGTCTACTGCACATCAGCCTGTACTCCCCTCAATCTCTATTACCCCTCAATATCTATTACCCCTCAACATCTACTGCCCATCAGCCTATACTCCCCTCAATCTCTATTACCCCTCAATCTCTATTACCAATCAATGTCTACTGCACATCACCCTATACTCCCCTCAATCTCAAGTACCCCTCAATATCTATTACTCCTCAATCTCTACTGCACATCTCCCTATACTCCCCTCAATCTCTATTACCCCTCAATATCTATTAGCCCTCAATCTCTATTACCCCTCAACGTCTACTGCACATCAGCCTATACTCCTCTCAATCTCTATTACCCCTCAATATCTATTACCCCTCAATATCTGGTACCCCTCAATGTCTACTGCATATCAGCCTATACTCCTCTCAATCTCTATTACCCCTCAATCTCTATTACCCCTCAACGTCTACTGCACATCAGCCTATATTCCCTTCAATCTCTATTACCCCTCAATCTCTATTACCCCTCAATGTCTATTACCCCTCAACGTCTACTGCACATCAGCTTATACTCCCCTCAATATCTATTACCCCTCAATATCTATTACCCCTCAACATCTACTGCACATCAGTCTATACTCCCCTCAATCTCTATTACCCCTCAATATCTGTTACCCTCAATATCTGTTACCCTCAACAACTACTGCACATCAGCCTATACTCCCCTCAATCTCTATTACCCCTCAATCTCTATTACCCCTCAATCTCTATTACCCCTCAACGTCTATTACCCCTCAATATCTACTGCACATCAGCCTATACTCCCCTCAATCTCTATTACCCCTCAATATCTATTACCCCTCAATATCTATTACCCCTCAATGTCTACTGCACATCTGCCTATACTCCCCTCAATCTCTATTACCCCTCAATCTCTATTACCCCTCAATCTCTATTACCCCTCAACGTCTATTACCCCTCAATATCTACTGCACATCAGCCTATACTCCCCTCAATCTCTATTACCCCTCCATATCTATTACCCCTCAATATCTATTACCCCTCAATGTCTACTGCACATCAGCCTGTACTTCCCTCAATCTCTATTACCCCTCAATATCTATTACCCCTCAATATCTATTACCCCTCAATATCTATTACCCCTCAATATCTATTACCCCTCAATATCTATTACCCCTCAATATCTGTTACCCTCAACATCTACTGCACATCAGCCTATACTCCCCTCAATCTCTATTACCCCTCAATCTCTATTACCCCTCAATCTCTATTACCCCTCAACGTCTATTACCCCTCAATATCTACTGCACATCAGCCTATACTCCCCTCAATCTCTATTACCCCTCAATATCTATTACCCCTCAATATCTATTACCCCTCAATGTCTACTGCACATCAGCCTGTACTCCCCTCAATATCTATTACCCCTCAATATCTATTACCCCTCAATGTCTACTGCACATCAGCCTGTACTCCCCTAATCTCTATTACTCCTCAATATATATTACCCCTCAACGTCTACTGCACATCAGCCTATACTCCCCTCAATCTCTATTACCCCTCAATCTCTATTACCCCTCAATGTCTACTGCACATCTGCCTATACTCCCCTCAATCTCTATTACCCCTCAATATCTATTACCCCTCAACGTCTACTGCACATCAGCCTATACTCCCCTCAATCTCTATTACCCCTCAATATCTATTACCCCTCAACGTCTACTGCACATCAGCTTATACTCCCCTCAATATCTATTACCCCTCAATATCTATTACCCCTCAACTTCTACTGCACATCAGCCTATACTCCCCTCAATCTATATTACCCCTCAATATCTGTTACACTCAATATCTGTTACCCTCAACGTCTACTGCACATCAGCCTATACTCCCCTCAATCTCTATTACCCTTCAACGTCTACTGCACATCAGCCTATACTCCCCTCAATCTCTATTACCCCTCAATATCTATTACCCCTCAATGTCTACTATACATCAGTCTATACTCCCCTCAATCTCTATTACCCCTCAATATCTATTACCCCTCAACGCCTACTGCACATCAGGCTATACTCCCCTCAATCTCTATTACCCCTCAATATCTATTACCCCTCAACGTCTACTGCACATCAGCCTATACTCCCCTCAATATCTATTACCCCTCAATATCTATTACCCCTCAATGTCTACTGCACATCAGCCTGTACTTCCCTCAATCTCTATTACCCTCTATTACCCCTCAATATCTATTACCCCTCAATGTCTACTGCACATCAATACCTATTACCCCTCAATATCTATTACCCCTCAATATCTATTACCCCTCAATATCTATTACCCCTCAATATCTGTTACCCTCAACATCTACTGCACATCAGCCTATACTCCCCTCAATCTCTATTACCCCTCAATCTCTATTACCCCTCAATCTCTATTACCCCTCAACGTCTATTACCCCTCAATATCTACTGCACATCAGCCTATACTCCCCTCAATCTCTATTACCCCTCAATATCTATTACCCCTCAATATCTATTACCCCTCAATGTCTACTGCACATCAGCCTGTACTCCCCTCAATATCTATTACCCCTCAATATCTATTACCCCTCAATGTCTACTGCACATCAGCCTGTACTCCCCTCAATCTCTATTGCCCCTCAATATTTATTACCCCTCAACGTCTACTGCACATCAGCCTATACTCCCCTCAATCTCTATTACCCCTCAATCTCTATTACCCCTCAATGTCTACTGCACATCTGCCTATACTCCCCTCAATCTCTATTACCCCTCAATATCTATTACCCATCAACGTCTACTGCACATCAGCCTATACTCCCCTCAATCTCTATTACCCCTCAATCTCTATTACCCCTCAACGTCTATTACCCCTCAATATCTACTGCACATCAGCCTATACTCCCCTCAATCTCTATTACCCCTCAATATCTATTACCCCTCAATATCTATTACCCCTCAATGTCTACTGCACATCAGCCTGTACTCCCCTCAATATCTATTACCCCTCAATATCTATTACCCCTCAATGTCTACTGCACATCAGCCTGTACTCCCCTCAATCTCTATTACCCCTCAATATTTATTACCCCTCAACGTCTACTGCACATCAGCCTATACTCCCCTCAATCTCTATTACCCCTCAATCTCTATTACCCCTCAATGTCTACTGCACATCTGCCTATACTCCCCTCAATCTCTATTACCCCTCAATATCTATTACCCATCAACGTCTACTGCACATCAGCCTATACTCCCCTCAATCTCTATTACCCCTCAATATCTATTACCCCTCAACGTCTACTGCACATCAGCTTATACTCCCCTCAATATCTATTACCCCTCAATATCTATTACCCCTCAACTTCTACTGCACATCAGCCTATACTCCCCTCAATCTATATTACCCCTCAATATCTGTTACACTCAATATCTGTTACCATCAACGTCTACTGCACATCAGCCTATACTCCCCTCAATCTATATTACCCCTCAACGTCTACTGCACATCAGCCTATACTCCCCTCAATCTCTATTACCCCTCAATATCTATTACCCCTCAATGTCTACTATACATCAGTCTATACTCCCCTCAATCTCTATTACCCCTCAATATCTATTACCCCTCAACGCCTACTGCACATCAGGCTATACTCCCCTCAATCTCTATTACCCCTCAATATCTATTACCCCTCAATCTCTATTACCCCTCAATCTCTATTACCCCTCAATGTCTACTGTACATCAGTCTATACTCCCCTCAATCTCTATTACCCCTCAATATCTATTACCCCTCAACGTCTACTGCACATCAGCCTATACTCCCCTCAATATCTATTACCCCTCAATATCTATTACCCCTCAATGTCTACTGCACATCAGTCTATACTACCCTCAATCTCTATTACCCCTCAATATCTATTACCCCTCAATGTCTACTGCACATCAGCCTATACTCCCCTCAATATCTATTACCCCTCAATATCTATTACCCCTCAATGTCTACTGCACATCAGTCTATACTCCCCTCAATCTCTATTACCCCTCAATATCTATTACCCCTCAATGTCTACTGCACATCAGTCTATACTCCCCTCAATCTCTATTACCCCTCAATCTCTATTACCCCTCAACGTCTACTGCACATCAGTCTATACTCCCCTCAATCTCTATTACCCCTCAATCTCTATTAACCCTCAACGTCTACTGCACATCAGCTTATACTCCCCTCAATCTCTATTACCCCTCAACGTCTACTGCACATCAGCCTGTACTTCCCTCAATCTCTATTACCCCTCAATATCTATTACCCCCCAACGTCTACTGCACATCAGCCTATACTCCCCTCAATCTCTATTACCCCTAAATATCTATTACCCTCAACGTCTACTGCACATCAGCTTATACTCCCCTCAATCTCTATTACCCCTCAACGTCTACTGCACATCAGCCTATACTCCCCTCAATCTATATTACCCCTCAACGTCTACTGCACATCACCCTATACTCCCCTCAATTGCTATTACCCCTCAACGTCTACTGCACATCAGTTTATACTCTCCTCAATCACTATTACCCCTCAATGTCACTGCATATCAGCTGAAATTATCACTTTCCAAACCAGTCAACTTAAATATGCAAGCCAAATCAAATCTTTTAAAATTAAAATCCTCAATAACTTCAATTTTCTTTAATGTTCATTGGTTTTGAAAAAAAATTGCCCCCAAAATTGAAAAATGATTGGAAGAAAATTTTGTACTGCAAAATACTTTATTTTCAACTCATCAAAAATCAGTGAAAAATTCCATACAAAACATCCAAAACGTCTTTCCAGCAAAAATTGATTTCAGCGAAAATAAAGTATTTTACAGTAGTTCACATTTTTCTGATTTGTCTTTCTAAAAGTATGAAGTATTATGATGGAGCACAGCTTATGGTATTTTGTAACTTACACATGAATTTTAACAAAAATTAACTTTTTTCCAAACAGATTACCCGAATTACAACTGGACTGTTTTTTGAGTGAATATTTTGCTGTATTTAATAAATCATTATTTCTTTGTTTTCTTTCTACAGTTTATCACTGTTGATTTTTCATGGTTAGATCAGTGGGTTATAATTCCTACCTGGAATTTTATTCTGCCAAAAGGTAAGTTTGTATAGCTTAGCTGAAATTAAAATAAAACAAATCAAATATCCACAGACTGGTGAATGTAAGTTATATGATTATGAGTGCTTCTTTAAATACCAAAGTCTGCTTTCATTTCCTTTCACAAATTAATCTTGCATTACCAGAATATATTTTTTTTTCATATTCAAGCCAAATTTATATGAATCCATTTGATCCAAACATTAATGGAAAATTATTGAAAAATACACTAAAAAGTTTAAAGGATTAAATATGCTTTAAACTACAAAATGAACTATAAGGTCTCTGACTGCGTGAATATAAAAACAAAAGAATTAACAGCAAAATTAAGATTATTGAGTGTGCTCATATAAAAACAAAAGAATCAACACTAGGCTCAGACAGAGCATATATTTAGTGAATAAAGATGATGATTGATTTATTTATTGAGAGTCTGATCCTCATGGCTTAAACTTCACAGAGGCATCAAAAAAACAATCAGTGTTCATTGTATTGAATGTATCTTCCAGGGTTTGAAGGCAGCTGTTATCTTGAAATATCAGACAGGTGTTTGCCTATGGAAATGTTACAAGAGAGTCACTCAAATATGAAAGGATTGCAAGTAATCTCCACCACACTAGCACTGCGTATCCTTGACAACAGGTACAGCTATTCAATTGTTGTTTCATATATATATCTCAGAAAAAAATCTTGTTTTTATTTTGTATTGCTTGAATTATTTTTCTTCTCGTGCTGTTTTTTATTTGTCACCCACATTTTTTAAATTCTTGAAAGTGAAAAGAATGGTTAGTAATTATAGCTAATTGGTCACATGACTTGCATAGCAACTATCTTCTCAAAAACCACAGTACGAATTAATTAAAGTGTATAACGTTTACAGTCCATGTGCTTCAACATTCGTAATGGAAACTGTTTTGTTTTTCCCGTCCAAAATTCAGTGCAGATATTTTAATTTTTGACCAAAACATTTGTCAGTTTTCTTCAACATTTCATGTGGGGAGGAACAGACTGTACACAATGATTTTGATGCTGGTGCCAAAAGTTGACAATGGAACACAAAGGGTAATTGTATTTGTGTGAAAGTGATGGCATGTACTGGTAATAGAAGGTCATAGGAAATTTAACAGTCATCGTACTGCTTGGTATGATACCCTGCACTGCATAAAAAGTCAATTGTTTGGTTTACAAAATTCAAGAACTACAAGATGTTTGTGGAGCTTGAATTATTTATTATTTCAATGCTAAACAAATGTGAAATATTTAAAATACAATTGTAAACTGAGAACAGACTTCTCAAGGTAGAGTGAACCAAGTGAGTATTGGTCACCAGATCCG